GAAGGAGAGTATATCCTTGTTATGTTGTCATTCATGCAAAGAACTAATCTATCAGGCATGACTTTGGAGAATTTTTTGTACATGAGTGGATAGAATTTAAAGCTTTTTTTTTTAAAGAATTAAAGTTTTATGAGTTTGGAATCTAAGAAAAAATGTTTTACCCAAAACAAGCTAGAATTCAACAAGAACTAATCCAAAAACCACAAAGAGGTTAAAATCGCGAATTTCAAAACGGATTTGAAGAGCACATGAATTCAATCGAAATTGAATTCAAAAAAAAAATGAGAAACTTAAAATTTCACTAAGAAAATAAAAAAGTACATTGAAAATTGATTAAAAATTGATGCAAAAAAAGTCATTTTGCATGGAAAATTAAAAAAAAAAAGTTGGCTACCTAATAACCTTATTTTGAAGAATAAAAAAATAAAAGTGTAGAGAAAAGTATATGTAAAAATTTAAAATTAAAATCTAAAAATTTATCTAATGACTCCCTTTTGGCTGGCCACTCTACCCTATTTATAGGCAAATGAGAAGTGCCGCAAATCCTAAAATATCTTGCAAAAATATCTAGATATGGGCAGTTTCTAGATATTTCTTCTTCCCTTCTTTATGGCTTATGCATAGTTGTTTGGCCCATTAAGCTCCTCATTGTTTTCAAGCCCTCTTCTAATGAACCTTTGCACTCCGAGAAGTCAAAATAATGACCAATAAGAAGTCTTCATTTCGCCAACTCAACAGCTCCTAATGGCCTTCTTTGAATTGCCAAAAATGGCACCAAAGCGTGCAATCAAATGAACCTTGCTTCCAATGTGCAAGCTTGGATTTTCTTCCTTTTCTTTTGGTGCTAAATGCACACACTTCCTTTTAATTTTCTGCCACAATTTTCAAGCCATAAAATGAACCAATTTGACATTATATTGCTTGGAAAAATTTTGGAATCTAATCAACTAAAAATTCACTTCCAACTCCATAATGCACACATTATCTTTCAAACATGTATAAAGATACTAGAAAGTTACTAATGCAAAATTCAGCTAAGCAAGATATTTCCAAATGAAAATTATGAGAATTGGGATTTAAAATAATTTATAAAGTTCATTTGAGCTCAAGAAATCATAGAAGCAAAAGGCAAGAAGAACTTCCTTAATAGGCAATGAAGCATAATTACACTAATTGTGACATTTGCTAGCTTTTACCACCATAAATCCTTCAAATTGAATTCAAATTGTCCAAAATTCTTTATTTTCTATATTTTCACCTACACATGAGACAAATATGAATTTATGAGTATTTTTATCAAAATTCTCAAGGTTCAAGCTAAAAATCAAAAGGAATTGCATTAAAAATGAGTAAGAAAATACTAAAATTTTAGTGCAATCAATAAGATTAGTTAAGGGGTGGAGAATTGGTTTGTAAAATTGAACTGGGCAATGAGTAAGTGAATTTGAAGGTATTGTTTTTCATCAGTGAATTTGAAGGTATTGTTTTTCATCATATTGCATTTATCTTGGAATGCATGTATATATCAGATATGGATAAGGGTCAGCAAAAATCAACTAAAATTGATTTAACCGATTGAAATTGATTGAGTTTAGTTATTTTGGTTTGTTTTAATTGATTTCAGTTGTAATCAATTAACAAGGATAGTTTAATTAGTTAAATCAGTTAGCTTTTGGTGTTTAAAATTGACAACCAAACTGATTGAATTAACCAACTTTTATATAAATTTTTAAAAATGGCAATTATGTGATTTTACCACCACCTAAAAACCTAACTCTAATAAAATTATCTCATGTACCCTGATCCCCAATTCCCATCTTTTATCTTCTCACCTCTTAAACCCCAATTCTATTCATGCTCAATTTGACAATTTCTCATTTGCCACTTACATGTTACAACCTTGTTTTGCATCAGCATATGAAATTTATGTCTTTTTGTGTTATCCCAATTCTTTATCTCTTTTTGTTATGTTCTCTTAATTTTCACTTCCAAGTTCTCATTGACGAGACCTTCCTCCAAGGTTGTATAACCAACGACCACCATTCATCTTGATGATGTAAGAATCGCTTGTTTGAAATTTGTTAATATTTTAGTCAAAACTCTCTTTTTTTCTTTCTTTCTTTTGTGTTGATAATATACTAAGCAAAGCCTTTTTACTCAGATGCAAGCTGCTGTAGCAAAAGTGGCAAAATACTTCCCAACAACAATAATTAGTGGAAGAAGTCATTACAAGGTGATTTGGGGATCAAGATTTTTAAATAATTTTGACATCTTCCTTGGATCTATTTTACATATATACACATATTAGATTGCTTCTTTGACAATAGTTAGTTTATTTACGTGTTTGGTCACTTTTTTATTGGGTTTTAATTGTTTTAAATTAACTATTCAAAATAGGGAAAATGGTGAAATTTTAAGTTATTGAACCGAACCAATCAATCTAGGTTGGTTTAGTTAATGTCAATTATTGAGAATAGTCCAATCTAATTCGATTATCTTTTTAAGGATGGTTTATCAATTCGGTTATTATTTTTTTAGACCAAATCGATCGAACTGACTAACTGTTCATCATACCTAGATACAAAAGGAAAGAAACCACATGATATTTAAGCAAAAAGAAGATACAGTAACATAGTTATTTGATAGAATAATGGAGGCCATTAGGATTAGATTGCAAGACTATGCCATATTGCTGCAGACCCAATTAATAGAGAGTTACGTAATGCTTGGAACCTAAATGCTACTATTTTAGAATAGATTGCTATTAGATTTAATATCTTTGTTGTCTTGTAAATAAGGGTGTTCATAATTTAGTTTTAATTGAATTAATCAACCAAACCGATTTAATTCGATTAATCTATTAGACACCAAATTAATTTCGATCTATTAATAAAAATAATTTTAGAAGAATTTCAGTTTTCGATTAATTCGGTTCGAAAATCAAATTAACCAAAATTTTAACCAAAATATAACATAATCCAAATATAAAATGAAAAATATATGAAATAGATCACTTAATTTTATAATTTGTTAGAGTTTTTAACATAATATTTTAGTATTTGAATACTTTATTAAATAATTTTATTTAGTTTGTTTAAAATATGAAAAATTAAAAGTTTAAAATATAATTTAACTTAAATGCATTTTTTATTTGGTTAACCGAAAAAATTAACTGAACTAACCTAATTAAATTTAGTCAGTTAATTTTTTAAATTCATAAATTCGATTCAACTAATAAAAATAAAATAATATAATTTAGTTAATTTAGTTTTGACTAATTCGATTTGAAATTAACTGAATTAATAGAAAGAACACCCCTACTTGTAAAGCTAGGTGGGTTATGCATTGTAGCATAATTCTGCTTACGATAAATGAAATTACAAGCTTATCTATGGACGCAAGACATTATCTTAATCAACATAGGATTTCTACATCTTAATCTCTAGTTTAGACGCAACAAACCAACTTTGACTTTGATACTTTAAATGGTCTTGAAGAAAAGTACGAGCACTATTATCTTCTCTAAAATCCTGCAACCCACCAGGAGAAAGCATAAGAAGTCCACTTACAAATTATGCTAGCACATTAATACAACAGGCAATATGTGGATTCACACCTTAACAACACAAGAGCAAGGAGCTATCTTCATGGTTTTTCCCTTCGAGTCAATCTTGCAATACTGCAAAGTGAAGATCCCAAACAATCACATGAGATATTACATAACATAATGACATTTTGCCAACATAATAGAATCAAAGCTTAGTGGCAATAGAAATGTTAATGCACAAGAAGCACTGGTAAATATAAATCTATAAATCAGATAAGATGTTGCCATACAATCCATTACTATCAAAATATCTCTACTTGCTAACAATAATAGTAAGCCATAATTTGCTACCTAAAAGACTTTACAAGAGAAGGAAGAGACAAAAAGACTCGGCAAAAATTAATACTTAACAGCAACCCACTCTTCAAGAGTCTTGGCACCTGAAAAAGGCAACATATCTTGTTGTGGTTTTCTCGACCTCTTTTGCACCTTCAAGAAGACCTCAAGCAAACCCGCCATGAATAAGTGATTTTCTCAACATAATATCGATAGTTGTCGTCCGATCCATCTCTAGTGCTTCAATAAGGGGAATAGTGGAATAGTGGTAGCAACCTCCTCACTGTAATAGAAAAAAATTGAAAAAATGGTTAATGTTATGAATAGTTTAAAAATAATTCTAAAATCATAGTGAAATATTTAATATGATACTTAAATTTAAAAATTTTTTAATATGATACTTAAATATAAATGTCTTAATTAATACAATATTTAACTCTAATGTGAATAATTTTAAATAGTAACACGTAATAAATAAATAATTTTTTAAATATCACATTAATTTATAATTTAAATATTATATTAAAATTTTTTAAAATTTAAATATTACATTAAATATTTTATTAGAGTTCAAAACCCTTTATAATATTATCACTTGAAAAAAATATGCTATATTGACATAACACATAGGGGCAATAAGATTCACCAATGGTTCTTCCTAAAGAAATTATCCATTTATTTGATGGGTGGAAAAACAAAAACACACAATATATATCAAATAATTAACAAAACATGTAACAATCCATAAACAACACATGCACACAATATATCAAAAAAAAAATTATGATAAAAACAAAAACAATCAATAATAATATCTAATCTTTTGTACAACAACTTTCATAGTACTTCACAATAATTGTATTTGGTATTCCCAATTTAACAACTTTTACCACTTTCGACGGTTCTTAAAATTATCGAGAATGACAATGCGATTGCACCATGGCTGGACTTGAAATTAGTAGTTAACTAACACCTCAAAGAGACTATGCTCACGCACAAAATCTAAATGTACAAATTCATGATATTCACCTTGACAGCCTAATCACCATGTGGAAATGCCTACATATATATATATATATAACAGAAAACTGAAGCCACTCTCTTTTTCCCAGCAAACAAAAAAAAAAAAATAAAAAAACCTTAGAACAAAAATGACCAGTTCTTTAAGATAAAAATAAATAAAACTCCGTTCTAGGGGCTCCTTCAATAACGCTCCAAACCGGGGAGAGAGAGAGAGAGAGAGAGAGAGAGAGAGAGAGAGAGAGAGAGAGAGGAAGGAGCTTCCAGGAATTTTCCCGAATTTGCTCTCTATAGAATCTGCAATTTTAAATTTATAAATCTAAAAAATCTTTGTTTTTTTCAATTCAAGGTAAGTTTCTCTTTTTGTTTCTCCATCTATATATTCGTTTCTTTGATGTCTAGTTTTATTCTTTGAAAGTCATTTGTGGGTCCCTTATACGAAGCTATCTTTGATTTGGTTTTGGATGATTTATAGCCATAAATTTATTGTAATTTCTTGCAGATCTGATAAAACTCAATCTGGGCTTTTTGGCAAATTGATTCCTTGGTTTGGGGTTTCGTGTTAATTAAGGAATCTGTTCTGGGGTTGTTCTTTTTGGTTGTCAAGTGATGTCTCTATTGCCAAAGAGCGATTCAATCCAAATCCGTGAGGTATGGAACGATAACCTTGAGGAAGAATTCGCTTTGATTCGTGGAATAGTCGATGATTACCCCTACATTGCCATGGATACCGAGTTTCCAGGCATTGTATTGCGTCCCGTGGGCAATTTCAAGAGCAGCTATGACTATCACTACCAAACTTTGAAAGACAATGTTGATATGTTAAAGTTGATTCAATTGGGTCTTACGTTTTCGGACGAGAAAGGAAATTTTCCTACTTGCGGAACTGATAAATATTGCATTTGGCAGTTCAATCTCCGCGAGTTTAATGTTGACGAGGATGTGTTTGCTAATGATTCTGTAGAGCTCTTGAGGCAAAGTGGGATTGATTTCAAGAAAAACAATGAGAAGGGTATTGATGCAATGAAGTTTGGTGAGCTTTTGATGTCTTCGGGGATTGTTTTGAATGATAGTGTGCATTGGGTTACTTTCCATAGTGGTTATGATTTCGGTTACTTGCTTAAGCTCTTGACTTGCCAGAATTTGCCAGATACGCAACTTGGGTTTTTTAGTTTGATCAATATTTACTTTCCCACTATCTATGATATCAAGCATTTGATAAAGTTTTGCAACAGTCTGCACGGTGGATTGAACAAGCTTGCGGAGTTGTTGGAAGTGGAAAGAGTTGGGATTTGTCATCAAGCGGGTTCGGATAGTTTGCTCACATCTTGTACATTCAGGAAACTGAAAGAGAATTTCTTTAGTGGCTCTTTGGAAAAATATTCGGGTGTGTTATATGGTTTAGGTGTTGAAAATGGACAGAGTATTAATTGATAATGAAATGTGTTGACAAGTGCGCCTCATGCCCACACTTTAATGCACAATTTTGGCAACAATTTTTGCAATTTATGAATATTTTCTTATGCTTTTTGTTCTCTTTCTTCTCACTTTTACTGCATCATAGCTTTTTATGGTTTATCTGTTAGTGGTGCATTTATGTTCACATATTATGTGCTAGCAAACTAAGGAAAATGATGGAATATAATCTTGATAGCAATATTTCTAGCTATGAATGTCATCATCTATGAGCAGCTTCTGAAATATTACTCCACGAACCTAAAAACAATGCGTTACATGTCCATTTGTAGCAGTGTTAGAATGTTTCCATCCTCGTCTTAAGAGCCCTGCTTTCTGGAACTAGATTACATCCTATGTTGTTTTGCTTGAGACGCCCTACTCACTTCCTCTCTCTCCCCACTTTCCCTTATTTATCTATTCTATTGTTGTGAATGATGACTGACAATGCTAACTGTTCTTTTGTACAAGCTGGAATCATGGGACATTATTTATGGCGGAACAACATCTCCCGTTCTTCATTCCACTTACTATTAGTGTAATATTTCCCTCATTTCAACTTTCTTCGCTACTAGCTTGTTGAAGCTTATTGCCTAAATTTATCATATATCCAGCCGACTGCCTCATTTTCCATTGATTTTTCAGGTAATTTTTTTGTGTTTTAATCTCTCTATACAGCTTCTCTCCATAAACAATTGACTGACAATGATTGCAAACCATTTAAGCTATTTTATGATACATTTTGATACAATCACTACTATTAAATCATAAGCCACAATATAGTTAAGATTCATTTGGAAGGCTCATGTCATCTCTTTGATTATGTTTCTTGATATTTTAATTACTTTTCAGGTAATTCAGCGCAGTCATCCCAAGTAGGTTAGTGTTTATACATAACCTGAGGAAGAACAAACTATAAGGAGACAATTAGCACATGTTTGGTGATCAAGAAATAAAATATATAGCAGACCAACTACATATAAAGACCCGTTGAACCCATTTTCTTTTCTCCTGCAATTTTGAAATAATCTAGGAAATATTTTAATCAGATGCTTCAAAAACATCTTAGTGAAACATTTACTGATATGATTTTCATCCCCAGTGCGAGAAACGAATAGTTTTGAGGGGCTCAGTTTGAGAAATCATTGTTTATAGAGACTACTGTTGTTTATCTTGGAATGGCCGTCGGCCTTCCTGCAATTAGGTACTATGGAGCTTTGGTTTTAGATGATCATCAGAAATTATAACTTTGAATCTGCACGATCATCATGATCTTTTAGAAGAGTGCATTTATTTTCAATTTTAAACACAAATATGATGAGGGATAGGGAATTCCAGGAGGATGTTAACGCTCCCAATGCTAAGCACCTGATGAATACCATAAGGATGATCCCTTCTTTTGTGTTGTGGAACAGACCATTTACAGGCGCTTCGATGAACATGGTAAGAACAATGGGACCAGCCATACCAGCAAATAACTACAAGATATATGGGTCGACTTCACTGCTCCCATTCTGGGGGCACCATGTGGTGCAGGAACCTATACTGCAATCAAGCTGCCTGAGGAAGATGGTGAAAAGCTGTCAACTGTGAGGAGCTTCAGGAGGTAATTAGCATCCATCACAACCTATATTATCAGAACTTCATGAGAAGGCATTGCAGATAACCAGGGTAACAATTTCATGATTGTGACACATTAGCACTTAGATATAAATAAGTGAAATGTGTGTATCAATCATATATATGTATAACAGCATAGTCAAGCTATAGATGTTCCTGAAAAAATGGAAAAAGGTAAGAGAAACTATGAGTTGACTTTCAATTGCTAGTGTATATTGGAGTTTGGTTGCGTAAAAAAGATGGGAAACGGCTAAAATTAGGAGGAAGAAACAGGATGTGTTTTAAGGCTGCCAAACATTGTTCTCTCGGGGCAAATGACCAGGAAAAAAGGTTATTGTATAGGCTTCATCTCTCCCTCCATTGTGTTTTTCCCCCTATTTTCTCCCCTCTTTAAAGGTCATGTAAAAACCAGAAATTTGAGAAATGTAGATTGCATCTCTCACGGTCTTTTTCCTTTTCTTTTTCTTGTGATACTTCTTGGTTTCGGTAGTGACTTTGCTGCCCTTTGGTTAAGGCTTTGGCTACAGCTTGAATTGATTGTGTGCAAATAAAAATGGGTTTCCTTGTATATGTTCAACAGGAACAGCCTGCTAGTTGCAACTTGCAATGTATAGAACTCATGTAACATGGGGCCAAGCATTGCAAAGCTGATGAGATGAAATTCCTTGAATGCTTCTAATTGGAACTAGTTCGAATAAGCACCAGAAGATTTGAAAGAAACAACCAGAAAATTATTGAATTCAACAGAACATTATACTGTATTCATATGATCTATATGATCAACTGGCTAAGATAAGAAGTACTAAAAAACGTCATAGATACAATTTGATTTCCAGGAAAATTCAAGAATAGAGAGTACACATAATTGAAAAATAAAAGGTAAAAAGAGGAAACAGAAACAGATTCAAAATTCTGACAGCCTCCATGGTAGATTAGAATTCGTTTCTTTGCCCTACACTTCAATGCGCTTACATTTGGCATTATTTTCTATTTTTGGTTATACGGAACAAAAAATTATCAATACAGAAAGAAAATGCTCACCTCAGCTAAGGCAACTCGTTGAATCCTTCGCAAAGCAAACCACTCACGCCAAAATCCAATGTTTTTGCTTTACTTTCCCTTTTTTTCCCATCAACCAAACCAATCCAAATGAATAACAAAAATACATCACGCAAGTCAAACTTTTGCTTTAGCCCTCGGCCAATATAACCCATCCTCTTAATCCCAGAAAATATAATCCCAAGTTCCCGACACCTTGAATTATCAGGTCTGTTTATTTATTTTCTCTTTTCATTCAATTTCTTAGCAACCGAACAATCCTATGCTCTGATAAATGCACAACCCAGTGCATAAATTTAATCCCAAAATGCCTAGTCCAATATGCAGAAGAGACGAGAAAAACTCAAAAAATTTTCCTAACTTCTGCTTTCTTTACCTTCATTTTCTCGGCAACCGAACATTTCCTGCCCAGGAAGCAACTTGCCATACGTTTAAACTCTTAATAACAGTCATCCCATTCATCAAACTAACAAGGGATTCTCATTCAAACAGGCAAAATCCGTCGGGTGTGCCCCGATTCGGGCCCATGTCGGAGTAGCCTCTTCCACAGAGAAAGCGCCATTGCAGCGATCATAACACCAAGAAAATCGGCGACGGCATCTCTAGCTGAGGCACCAGCAGATGGGAAAAATCCAAGCTGGTCAGCAGCCTCTTTGGCAGCGCCAGCGACGAGGGAGAGGATGGATCCGACCCGAATGGAATGGTTACGGAGAAAAGGGTAGCGGGAGAGTGAAGCTAAAGTGGCGAAGAGGACGGTGAGAAAGAAGCAGAAGAGGAAATGGTAGAGTTTATCTGGTGCTAACCAAGGATCTTTGTCGCCGTCGTCGTTGCTGTTACTGCTTTTGTCTTCCATTCTGACGAAAGTGTGTAGAGTTGGGAGGAGTTCGACGGTTTGTTTTTAGCTCGGACCACTGGGAGTTTGATTTGGGTTCATTTTGACTACCGTGAGAACTGCTGAGAGTTCAAGTATTGTTTGGCTCTTTGCTGTTAGAAATATTTCCCTTCAGGAAAACTACTTTTGAAAAGGTTAAAAAATTATTGTAAAAATTTATGGATGAAGATTTTAAAGTGTTTAGTATTAGTAAATTTATTATGAAAAAATAAATTATTTTTTATCAAAAATAAATAAAAAATTTTTTATTATTTTATCTTCAGATTAAAAATGTCATATATATATATATATATATTATATTATAATATACATAATTATAAGATAAAATTTACTAACATGAATGTTTACATAAATATCTTTTTTTTAGACAAATAAAAAAATCTTTTAGAAATTTTTATTAATAACACATAAAATATTTATTAATTTGAAATTATTTATTAAAAATATATTTCAAAAATTATTAAATTATTTAAATATTTAAAATTTTAAATAAAATATTAATTTAAATCAAATAAAATTCTCCTCTCTCATATATCATTTCATCTCTCTTAAGATTCAACAAACCAATCAGGATGCACCTTCCATTTAGAAATAAATGTTTTCATTGTAAATAGTAGCTAAATTCTCTTGCTTTGGGTGATTTCAACGTATATATTTGTTTAGAAGAATAAGGGACATGATATTGCTTTAAATTAATTAATTTGCTACAATATATATTTGTTTGAATATTGCTTTCCTTAATTTTTTTTTTTTTTGGATTATATTAGAAAAGCAAAATTTTAATATAAATAAAAGAATGGAGGAGACTTGGCTCAAAATCAGATCTTTGATATTTTTTTAAACACCTTTAGTAATTAGATCAAAGGCTTGGAGACATTTTCCTTAATTTTTCACACTATTACTCTGTTTATGTTCTTATATGATACTCATAAATCAAGCCTGCATATCTTTTATGTTTTTTGGCATACCAATTGAAAATTTGAAACAAATCAAATGATACAAATTAATGATTAAATAACTCAAAAGATTTTAAGATTTTCACTTTTTTAGAAAGATCTTGTTATTAGTTTTGATATCATTATCAGTATATCAAATTTAAAGCTTAGTGAAAAAGATATTAAGTTTAAAAATTATTTCAAACTTTGAAAAAATCTTTTTAATTTTTTCACCCTAATCATTCAACCAGATGTTTTTCAAGAATTCAGACACAAGTTTAACAATAAAAATATAATACTTGTTTTATTTGTTTATGTCTTATTTTAATTACTAAAAATTAACTTTACCGTTCATCTAAATAAATTTTCAATTTTTTTTATTTTTTATCAAATAATTCATCAAAACCAACTAATATTTTATCCTCATCACATCTATATATTTGATCATATATATTTATATTTAATTCAGGTGTTGTAAAATGAAGATGTTAGAAAAATGGGATTTGATCATAAAAGTAGTTCAATGCCATTGGCATTCTCCATTGGAGCACACATTCAGCGGAAATAGGTATATTTATATTATTTGGTTTATGAGCTGAGCTTTGTGATTACTGTAATTGATTTTTTATGTTAAATTCAGAATATAAAATCAGTTCATTATTTATATTGATGTATTTGTTATTTCCTTTAGTTTAGAGGCATGATTTGGAGATTCAAATAGTTCATCAAATTGCTCAAAATTAGATTGCAGTTGTTTCAGTGGTTTTTTTCCAAATTGGCCAAGCTGATCCTTTCCTTTCCCTTCCTTTGTATGCTAGATAAGATTTATTTTATTATGTTTTTATCTTCAAATTTAATATTTCATATTTCACTCCTGTTTGAAACGAGATATGTACATGCATGCATACAAGCATGAGTGGATTATAGTATTAATTATAGTTGCACACATAATATATTAAATGAAAATACATGGACATACATCATATATATTTGATTTTGTCAATTATTGTGTAGTATTAATTTCAACGATTATTATTTATTTTCTTCTAGTGATTGAGCAAACGATTTCATGATAATGTATATAGTTATTATAGCTCTAGCTTATTATCAGTACGATGTATGGATTATTTTTATTTTATTTAAATTTGAATAAAAATAAAAATTAATATTATTTAATTATTTATATGTTTAAAATATATGTAAAATATAAGTAATATAATTAAAATATCAATTCATAATAAAAATAAAAACTTTAATTAAAATTTTAACAAACTTTAAAATATATGATAAATGATGTTGAATGAAAAAAATGCAAAAGATATTTTATTACTTTGTTGGTATACTTAATAATATTATTTATAATATCTTCTTAATGTTTTTGCTTCATCCAATATTATTTATTGTATATTTTAAATTTGTCAAATTTTTAATTAAAAATTTTATTTTTATTATAATTGATATTTTAATTATATTACTTATTTATATATATATATTGAACATGTAAATAATTCAATAATATTAATTTATATTTTTATTCAAATTGAAGTAAAATAAAAATAATTGGATTTAAAATTAATTTTTAATTATAATTAAACCTCTCAATTTTTTTAAGATTGATAATTTTTAACAGTAAGAGATACTTTTAATTCAAATTATAATATTAATATTATTTTTACATTCAAAAACGATTTTCTAAAATCCGAGGGCTAAAAGAGGCCTAAGTCTAGTCTCACCCTCAGTTGACTGATTTCAGAACCTTGCTAGCCCTGGGGTGGACACCATTGTTGTACTCGAACCTCCAAATTCCCATTTCATTCAAATTAATATTAATAGATAAATAAAAATTAACCAATAAAAATCTAAACGAACACAGGTGAATTTGACCAAATCCGAATCAGTAGACCAAATCCAAAATCCATCACCCCAAGGAGAAGAATCAAACGAGTAAACTTTTTTGTCTATTTTATAATAAAAATGAATAGAATAAAATTTACACTTTTTATTTTTATCAAAATAATTAAAATTAAAAATTTTATTTTGATTCAAATTAGTTGTTGATTTAATTTTGATTCAATAGTAAAAAAAAATTAAACTTAAATTAAGGTAACTGGATTCTTACTCAATAAATAATATATCTAACTTTTAAAATTCTTAAAAAGTCTTTAGATTTATATTATATTAGTTTATGATTACTAAGATGTATGAATTATTGTTTTTTAATATAATTATACATATAAATAATATTTTTTTAACAAAAATATAAAATTTTAAAACTTGCATATATCTAATGATATATATGATAATAATACGTTTAAAATACTTAAACATTCAATAAATAATATTGTTAAAAAAATTGAATATATCTTAAAGGAAAAAAATTGGATTAACTCAATGTTGCTTTATTAATTTTACATCATTTATATTTATTCTAATTAAATATAAGTTAATATTATTTTAAAAATGAAATTACATTTTAGATTTATAAGAGTAACTCACTCTCATGTGGATACTTTTAGGTAGATCTAACAATTTAAAATATGATACAGTAACACGATATAAAAATCATACGAATAAAAGAAACGGATAACACAGCTTAAAATTTTAGAAAAATTATAAGTAGATTTAATAAAATCAAAAAATTATATTTTATATTGTTGTGTTCACTCAAACTTTAACAAGTGATTTTCACATAAAACATAATTCGAATATAGTATTTTACATGATACAGTGACCTGAATTATCAAATACACTTTTTGATAGAATTTCAACAATATTTTAGTAATTTTGATTTATATAAAATGTTAAAGTTTTCTATATAGAAATGTAATGTTGTCTTTTACCTTGCTAGGAAAGAATTCAACAAAAATTTAAAAACAATTTATTGTTACAAATATTATTTGTTAATAGGCTTGATAATTGTATACATTTAGTAAATATTAAGATCAATTTTAGTATAGATTAATTTTCAAAATTTTCTTTAACTTCCAAATAATTTAGATTTATTATTTAATATATACATATTTGTTACTCATGATGACATATTAATACACATTAATTAATAAAGTAAATGAAGATTAAACTATATAATATGAATTTGAAAGTTAAATTATTCCCATCTTTCACGTTTGTTTCTTTTAAAAAATTAAGCATATTTAGATTATGTTTGGTGAATAAGATGATGAATAACATAGTTTGATAATAATTTTATATTATTTTTTATTTGTATCTAATTGAAAGGAATACGATTATAAAGAGGATTATCATATTTTTGGTATAAGATGATTTAGTCATTTCAAAATAAAATGGAGAGAATTATTTTTAATTCATGGGATTAAATTTACATATTTTATTATACCTTTAAAATTTACATTTATAATTTAAATTGTATAAATTTTGAGAAAATATAATTTTAACTAATAAATAAATTATCTTATCTTAATCCTTATATATATCAAACATAAGATAGAATGAAATTATTTAATCTAATTCTATTTATAATATCTTTTTATCTTATTCTATTATAATATTATGTACCAAACACGGCCTTAATTCATTGTATGTATAATTGTTAGGTTTAAGTTTTAAATTTTTAATGGAGAGTCATCAAAGGTTTTTGATAACATAAAAAAAAGGTCCAAATCTTTTAAGATTTTTTTTTTCATATTGTGCTTGGGATAGGAAATAATTAAATATATATATATATATTGTAGACATCCTATTTAGTTTGGGACTCAAACCAAGCCCAATTGTTCAATTTCCTACATTTATTTTTTATATCTTGTTTATCTTATTTATTTATTTATCTTTTTTATGTTTTAGTCTTTTATTTATCTAGTTTTAAATTTTTATCATAAATCATATCAATGAAATTTGTGGAGTGATTTCAACACTAATTAAGAATGATCTCGACAATTAAGACTAAAACATGATCTCTTCAAATATTAAAGGAAAGTTGAAAAGAAATCAAATCAAGGAATCGAAGTTAGATTTAATTTGGGAAATTTTAAGGGATTATGAAAATTAAGAAAAATCAAGATAATTCCATAAATTAATTAACTCAATTTTAAAAAGAATAAAAAAAATTAATTTAGAGCATAATCAGATCTGCTATTATTTTCATTCAAGGTAAATCTCTAAAATTCCTAGCAAAAGGCCCTAT